ACTGATATTTAGATCATTTCATGTCAGTATCTGCTGTACTGTTATAAAGATCTCATTGATTTACATTACAAGCATCAGAATTCCATCAAACTGCATCAAATAGCATTTTCTTGCTCAATTGGAGGTGTTTTTCATCATATTCTCACTATATCATGCTTTATGAGCCTCTTATTTAATGTCAGACTTTACAGGTTTATACCTTAACACAGCTCAAACACACACACACACACACACCTTCTCAGACAGCAGCTGCCGTCTCTTCTTGATGATGTCACAGCGGATGGCGCTGCGCTCACGACTCATGCTTTCTTCTAAATTCTGTTTGACCCGCAGAATCTCCAAATGAACATCAGAACACTGTTGGGAGAAACCACACTCCCTATACACACACACACACACACACACACACACACAATAAATATCTGTTCTAAAAGAAAGAAAAATATGTATGGCGAGACACGAGCGATGAGAGTACAGTAATATTGTAGATCACATGAAGTTCAGAATTTACTATGCTGCAGTACAGCACAGCTAATGTGTGATGAAGTATGTAGTATGTGATGGTGTGGTATGTACCCCGCGGGAGTACCGCCGGACTCGCGGGACCCAACGCAACAGGGTGCGGCGCGGGACAACTCTTGATGGGCGGGTGCGGGTGGGAAGAGACTAGTGTGTGTGCAGGATGCGGGAGAATAAAATGATTCGCAGGACTCCCGCAAAATAGAAATATCTAAACATAAAATGTCTAACAACATATAAATTGTTATTTATCTGTTGCACAAAAGCAAAAAGAACAACTAATATTAAATGATTAACATGCGCAAGCATAGGCAGTTTCTATTTATAACACTGTTTAAAGCGTTTGCACAAATGTAGCCAATCAGACTCAGCTGTTGATTTCTGGAACGCAATGGCCAATCAGAGGCGATTAAGTTAGAATCCACTCACAGCAGTGCTGAAATTGTGTGCTCACGAATTCTCTCATTTTAACAAACAAAGTGAAGACATTGTGAAAGATTAATTTATCATATGTTTGTTGTGTTATAACAGAGCTTTATGAGATCGAGATGAACTGAGATGTCAGCTTTTAGTGATAATAAAGGGAGTGCTGTTTGCTGGCATTCTGTGGCATTGTAGTGTGTGTGATGGTGTGGTATGTAGTGCGTGTGTGATGGTGTGGTATGTAGTGCGTGTGTGATGGTGTGGTATGTAGTGTGTGTGATGGTGTGATATGTAGTGTGAGTGTGTGGTGGTGTGGTATGTAGTGTGCGTGTGTGATGGTGAGGTATGTAGTGCGTGTGATGGTGAGGTATGTAGTGCGTGTGTGATGGTGTGGTATGTAGTGTGTGTGATGGTG